GTGCTGCGGGGGGGGAGAGGGATAGGGCTGTGGGCCCTGTGGCACGGGGGTGGAGGGCCATGCTGAAGAAATGGGGTCACACTGAGGAAAAGCTTGGGAAGCACTGCTCTAGCCTATCTTGCAATCCTTGCCATCTTCTCACTGCTCAGGAAACTGATGTGCTCCAGGTAAGTCCTGCAGTGGACTAGTGCTGAGTCCCAAGTCTAAAAGGGGTTTGTGCTAGTGCCACAAACTAAGTCACAAACACAGCAGGACTGGCCCAGTTGTGAACAGTAGCAGTTTCAAACCACAGGGTAGATGAATACTGCTAAGAAAAAGAGCTCCCAACTCTGAGCCACTGGGGTTTGGGGGCATGCAGCTCAAGACTTGGTTCTCTCCCTCCCACCCCACCCCAACCCAAGCACATGAGTACATTAAGATTGGAATACCAGAAGTCATGATCTTTGGCTGAGCCATGCAGAAGGTTGGTCAGTGTGGCACTCCTGAACCTACTTAGGCTTGAGGTGCCCCTTCAGAGAATGTCACCCCTATACTTTTTTCCGTAGTCAAAAAAACAAGTGAAAACCAAGTAGACGTCAATTTCTTTTCTTGAAAAGAACTCTGATCATCAATCATACTAAATCAGGATATTTTTTGATGTGATGGATTTCTATTTGAAATCTGAGTTGTTTTTTGTGAATTGTGTTGGTATTTGCACAATTTAACTGCTAATATTTTGTGGCATCTTTAGAATGATCTTATGGCACCCCAGGAGGCTGTCTCACCCTGATTCTGAATCAGGGCATTAGAGACTAATTGGTTCATGGAGGCATAAGCTTTCATAGTCAATAGAACTGAAAAGGGGGTTGGGGAAGAGAACAGTTTTTGTTCATTTGTTTTAAACAAATGCAATTAGTCAAAGGATATAAACAAGGGAGTTAACACCTCCCTTGTTAGCACTCCCAGCCAGGTCATGAGGCACTACAGGGATTTGGGAGCGGGGCTTAAGGGTCTGGGGGCACAGGTGGTGTTCTCGTCGATCCTCCCAGTCTCAGGCTATGGGCCGAGGAGGGAGAGGAGGATCCACATGGTCAACCAAAGACTGCAACACTGGTGTCGTCAGGAAGGCTTTGGCTTTCATGACCACAGCCCGCTCTTTGGCGAGAGAGGCAGCGAGCTGCTGGGAAGGGATGGCCTCCACCTCTCTCCCCTAGGGAGGAGGCTCTTCTCAGCCAGACTGGCTGACCTGCTCCACCGGGCTTTAAACTAAGCCCGTTGGGGGACAGGGGGACTACTGCCACTGCTGGCCCGCTGAGCAATCCTTGCAAAGCCAGCAGATCACGGCGCTTCAGGGAGCCCACCCCTGCCCCAGCCCTGGTAAAATCTGTGTGCAAGGAAGGAGCCCCCCAGGGGGCACTTGCCTGCCTGTACACTAATGCCAGGAGCTTGGGGAATAAGCAGGAGGAGCTCATCCTCCTGCTCAGTGCAAACAATTACGATGTCATAGGGATAACGGAGACCTGGTGGGACTCCACCCATGACTGGACCACGGGAATAGATGGCTATACCCTGTACAGGAGGGATCGTGTAGAGAAAAGGGGCGGGGGGGGTAGCTCTCTATGTTAAGGAAAGCTACACGTCCCTG